TCGACTAAATAAAGCTTTACTCTTTTTAATACTCTTTTTATAGTCTTTACATCACAAAACAAGTCAACATTTAGTAGGATGTGCATATCCTACATCCTTTCCTATCCTACACTATAAAAAGAGCAAGTTTGAAGGCTACTATTCATAAGCCTTTTGGCCATTTGGCTCAGTTGTTGAGCTGAGTTTTCCAAGCCGTCTAAGCCATTTTCCCTTTGTTTTTTTTTCTTTTGCCCTTTCCCCCTCTGCAGTCATCTTCTGACTTTCTCCATTTCTCAAGCAACCTCCCATCCTTCTCTCAGTCTGTTTCTCCATATCCTTCTCTCCCCCCTCCTCTCCTCTCCTCGCGATGTCGTTTCGGCCCAAAGAAAGAAACCCTAGAAATCGAACCTTCACATTGATGGATTCAGCCGAAAAATTGTAAGCAATTTCCAGTCCCCAATACATAGAGAGAGAGAGAGGAAAATTAAGCAAGCTTTTCAACAATGAGCTAAGGGCCGAAACTCTACGCCAAGGTATGTATAGTTTGAGTAGCTTTTACTGAAGAAAAATAATCAATTCCCTTTTCTTGTAGCTTTTGATTTTCAAATTATTTTTTCCATTACGGAACGATTAACAGCACAGCGGAAGCAATATCAGCAACAACAGGCATCTGCACCATCATCCATAGCGTCGACTGGGTCGTCAACGGGGTCTTAGGATGCTATAACTCCCCCTCCTCCTCCTCCGTCGACACCGTCACCTCAGCCGCCTAAAGAATCATTTGCCGGCCGCTATAAGTTCCTCTGGCCACTTCTATTGGCTGTTAATTTCACTGTCGGAGGTCTGTTTTGGTGTCTCTATTTATATATTTATGTTTCATGTATTCGTCCATTTCATTTAAAGGGTTTATAAAACTTGAAAAGTCCCAATTTTTTAGGGGTTTAAGCGTACACGGTGTGACAATTTCAGAATGGGAACTGAAAATATTCTGTTACTCGAAAATTAGTATGTTATGAGCATAGTTTTTACATTTTTATGTGTTCTTGTGATCTATGAATGTCAAATTTACAGGTGAATGCTCGATGTAAGTCTATTCACTTG